AACTAAAAGTAAAGGTAAATATGATAGGTTGGGGGGGGGGGGGGTGCTTGGGAGCAAATCAGTGATAAGTTACATTGTATACTAAGAGAAATAGCAGAAAATAATAATAATAGATTGATATTGGAGTCTCGCACGGTCCCATTCTTGACGTGTCCCCTTGAAGTCTTCCTAGCATTCTAGAGACCCCGCCCGCCCCGGGATCCCATTCCATACATTCTCATCCCCATAGGAATACATGGGATGAGTGGTACCAGGTATATGCTTTGGTCTTCATATGAGCAGCATGTGATCTATACTGTTTTTCACGGTTTATCATTTACCATTTTCTAGGAAGGAAGGTCACCTCAAGTCCTCCACGTGTCATTCCAGGCTTCAAAGCTCGCCTGCTGCGTGTACATTGGACGAAAATGGCTTGTTTTCTATGTAAAGTCTTCCATTAAATGGATACAGTGTGTGTCTCCGGAGAGAAAGGATTTCAGGACAGGTAGTCTAGGCTGATCAGGTCTTTAAAGGTCAACGCACACCTAAAGCTGAACTCCGGCCAGATATGAAACACACAAAAATAATGCAGCTTCACAATCAATAATACCATGTACTAAAAGTAACACAAAAGTGGGAAGAACTTCTTTATTAGGGAGTTTCAGAGCGTGAGAGAGGCTCACAGGTTGGGATGGGGAGTTCCAGAGGAATAGAAAGGCTCTGGACAGATTTGGATAGGGAGTTCCAAAGGATGAGAAGGCTGTACCAAAAGTAATGCAAAAGTGGACAGAACTTCTTTATTAGGGAGTTTCAGAGCGTGGGAGAGGCTCACAGGTTGGGATGGGGAGTTCCAGAGGAATAGAAAGGCTCTGGACAGATTTGGATAGGGAGTTCCAAAGGATGAGAAGGCTGTACCAAAAGTAATGCAAAAGTGGGAAGAACTTTTTTATTAGGGAGTTTCAGAGCGTGAGAGAGGCTCACAGGTTGGGATGGGGAGTTCCAGAGGAATAGAAAGGCTCTGGACAGATTTGGATAGGGAGTTCCAAAGGACGAGAAGGCTGTACTAAAAGTAACACAAAAGTGGACAGAACTTTTTTATTAGGGAGTTTCAGAGCGTGGGAGAGGCTCACAGGTTGGGATGGGGAGTTCCAGAGGAATAGAAAGGCTCTGGACAGATTTGGATAGGGAGTTCCAAAGGATGAGAAGGCTGTACCAGAAGTAATGCAAAAGTGGACAGAACTTTTTTATTAGGGAGTTTCAGAGCGTGAGAGAGGCTCACAGGTTGGGATGGGGAGTTCCAGAGGAATAGAAAGGCTCTGGACAGATTTGGATAGGGAGTTCCAAAGGACGAGAAGGCTGTACTAAAAGTAACACAAAAGTGGACAGAACTTTTTTATTAGGGAGTTTCAGAGCGTGGGAGAGGCTCACAGGTTGGGATGGGGAGTTCCAGAGGAATAGAAAGGCTCTGGACAGATTTGGATAGGGAGTTCCAAAGGATGAGAAGGCTGTACCAGAAGTAATGCAAAAGTGGGAAGAACTTTTTTATTAGGGAGTTTCAGAGCGTGAGAGAGGCTCACAGGTTGGGATGGGGAGTTCCAGAGGAATAGAAAGGCTCTGGACAGATTTGGATAGGGAGTTCCAAAGGACGAGAAGGCTGTACCAGAAGTAATGCAAAAGTGGGAAGAACTTTTTTATTAGGGAGTTTCAGAGCGTGGGAGAGGCTCACAGGTTGGGATAGGGAGTTCCAAAGGAAGAGAAAGGCTCTGGACAGATTTGGATAGGGAGTTCCAAAGGACGAGAAGGCTGTACCAAAAGTAACACAAAAGTGGGAAGAACTTCTTTATTAGGGAGTTCCAGAGCGTGAGAGAGGCTCACAGGTTGGGATAGGGAGTTCCAGAGGAATAGAAAGGCTCTGGACAGATTTGGATAGGGAGTTCCAAAGGACGAGAAGGCTGTACCAAAAGTAATGCAAAAGTGGACAGAACTTTTTGATTAGGGAGTTCCAGAGCATGAGAGAGGCTCACAGGTTGGGATGGGGAGTTCCAGAGGAATAGAAAGGCTCTGGACAGATTTGGATAGGGAGTTCCAAAGGATGAGAAGGCTGTACCAAAAGTAATGCAAAAGTGGACAGAACTTTTTTATTAGGGAGTTCCAGAGCGTGGGAGAGGCTCACAGGTTGGGATAGGGAGTTCCAAAGGAAGAGAAAGGCTCTGGACAGATTTGGATAGGGAGTTCCAAAGGAAGAGAAAGGCTCTGGACAGATTTGGATACGGAGATCCAGAGGACGAGAAGGCTGTACCAAAAGTAATGCAAAAGTGGACAGAACTTTTTTATTAAAATAAATAGGTTGGTCGTTCAATTCTCACGTTGGTAGAGTAACAATTCCTCTATACAAAGGTTCTAGTAACATAGTCTCCATCATAAGTGATACATTTATGCCAATGTTGAACCCAACTCTTCGATCCTCTGGAAACATTCAGGTGTCCACTGTTGCACTTCTTCTACTTCTTCATTGTTGTCCCCGAAGACTGTCCTTTATTGGACTGAAGAAGTGGAAGGCTGAGGGCACTAAACCTGGGCTGTAGAGTGGATGGGGGACCGCTGACCAGCCGAATTTGGAAATCATCTGATCTGTTGACAACGATGTGTGTGGCCAAGCCTTGTCATGGTGATTGTGGATCTTCTTCAGCTCATTCTTCTTCAGTCTCTTCCTTCTAATGGCTTCTCTAAGCTTCTTAAGTGTCTCAATGTACCACTCGCTGGTCACGGTACGGCCGCGTTCCAGGAAATGAAGGAGAATGACGCCCTTGTCATCCCGAGAAACAGTCACCATGGCTTCCTGTGCTGATCGCTGGCTCTTGAACTTCTTAGGCCTTGGGGAAGAGGCATGACACCATTCCATGGACTGATTCTTCTTTTCCGGTTCATAAAGATACGCCCACCGTACATCCCGTCACCATCGGCAAAAAACGTCTTCATTGGCTTCAAACACTTTCAGCAGATCAGTGCCAACTTCCACCCGTCTCTCCTTCAGGTCTGGTGTCACCTGTCGAGGTCCACACTTTGCTAACACTAAGCCTTCCACCTTCTTCTGTACGGCATTGTGACCCCAGTCCGGTTGTGCGGCAAGCTCACGGATTCTGACTTGTCTGTCATGTGAGTCAATTTGCTGAAAGAAGAAGAAGAGTTACTATGGAGGAAGAATTACTCCACCAACATGAGAAATCTGAATGACCCAAGTAAGTTAATAACAAGCTATGCCCAGTTTGGCCTGACCTTCGCTCCAGCCCTCGTACATCGGTACATTTTTCCCAAAACAAGCAATGTAAATTTGACTTAGTATGGGCCTACTGCCCAGCAGAGCTCAGACTGGGGGAGGGAGAAGTAGCATAAAGAGTTAATCAGTTGTGCTGCAACACACATAAGTAGATTAAAGTTCCCTCCACAGGTAGCTCAATACATCAGAAGAAGAAAATAAATGAACCAAAACAAAAGATCCAAATAAAATTCTAAGTACAGCCCCGCCCTGACAGAAAAGCAGCTTTCAGGTTTGGATAGAAAGTTCCAGCAAATGGAAGAGTCACTGGACAGATTGAGGTAGAGAGTTCTAGACCATGGAAGAGGCTCACAGGTTGGCATAGGGAGTTCCAGAAGATGGGAAAGGCTCTGGATCGATTGAAGTAAGGAGTGCCAGAAAATGGGAGAGTCTCACAGCTTGGCATAGGGAGTACCAGAAGATGGGAGATGCACTGGACAGATTGAGGTAGAGCGTTCCAGATCACAGAAGAGGCTCACAGGTTGGCATAGGGAGTTCCATTAGATGGGAAAGGCTCTGGACAGATTGTAGTAGGGAGTTCCAGAGAATGGGAGAGGCTCTGGACAGATTGAGGTAGAGCGTTCCAGGTCATGGAAGAGGCTCACAGGTTGGCATAGGGAGTTCCAGAAGATGGGAAAGGCTCTGGATCGATTGAAGTAAGAAGTGCCAGAAAATGGGAGAGTCTCACAGCTTGGCATAGGGAGTACCAGAAGATGGGAGATGCACTGGACAGATTGAGGTAGAGCGTTTCAAATCATGGAAGAGGCTCAAGGGTTGGCATAGGGAGTTCCAGAAGATTGGAAAGACTCTGGATCAATTGAGGTAAGTAGTTTCAGAAGATGGGAGAGGCTCTGGACAGATTGAGGTAGAGAGTTCCAAATCATGGAAGAGGCTCAAGGGTTGGCATAGGGAGCTACAGAAGATTCGAAAGACTCTGGATCGATTGAGGTAAGTAGTTTCAGAAGATGGGAGAGGCTCTGGACAGATTGAGGTAGAGAGTTCCAGATCACAGAAGAGGCTCACAGGTTGGCATAGGGAGTTCCATTAGATGGGAAAGGCTCTGGACAGATTGTAGTAGGGAGTTCCAGAGAATGGGAGAGGCTCTGGACAGATTGAGGTAGAGTGTTCCAGATCATGGAAGAGGCTCACAGGTTGGCATAGGGAGTTCCAGAAGATGGGAAAGGCTCTGGATCGATTGAGGTAAGTAGTTTCAGAAAATGGGAGAGGCTCTGGACAGATTGCAGTAGGCAGTTTCAGAGAATGGGAAAGTGTCACAGGTTGGCATAGGGAGTACCAGAAGAAGGGAGAGGCACTGGACAGATTGGGGTAAGGAGGTCCAGAGCATGGGAGAGCCTGACAGGTTGGGATAGGGAGTTCCAGAGGAAGAGAGAGGCTCTGGAGAAGTCCTGGATGTGAGCATAGTAGGAGGTGCGGAGGGTTCTACAGGGCAGGAGGTCTAGGGTGGAGCAAAGCGAACGATTTGGTTGGTATATTGAAAGTAGGTTAGTGATGTAGTTGGGGGAAGATTTGTGGATGGCTTTGTAAGTTGTAGTTAGTATCCTGAATTAAATTTGTTGGGTGAGGCCAGTAGAGGGATTGGCAGAGAGGGGTGGAGGACCCCAAATGGAGGCAAGTATAAGGATTGGCAAAGAGTAGAGGACACTGAATAGAGGCCAGTGGAGGGATTGGCAGAGAGGGGTGGAGGGCACTGAGTGGAGGCCAGTGGAGGGATTGGCAGAGAGAGGTGGAGGACACTGAATGGAGGCCAGTGGAGGGATTGGCAGAGAGGGGTGGAGGATACTGAGTGGAGGCCAGTGGAGGGATTGGCAGAGAGGGGTGGAGGACACTGAATGGAGGCCAGTGGAGGGATTGGCAGAGAGGGGTGGAGGACACTGAGTGGAGGGATTGGCAGAGGGGGGTGGAGGACACTGAGTGGAGGCCAGTGGAGGGATTGACAGAGAGGGGTGGAGGACGCTGAGTGGAGGCCAGTGGAGAGATTGGCTGAGAGGGGTGGATGACACTGAATGGAGGCCAGTGGAGGGATTGGCAGAGAGGGATGGAGGACACTGAATGGAGGCCAGTGGAGGGATTGGCAGAGGGGGGTGGCGGACACTGAATGGAGGCCAGTGGAGGGATTGGCAGAGAGGGGTAGAGGACACTGAATGGTGGCCAGTGGAAGGATTGGCTGAGAGGGGTGGATGACACTGAATGGAGGCCAGTGGAGGGATTGGCAGAGAGGGATGGAGGACACTGAATGGAGGCCAGTGGAGGGATTGGCAGAGGGGGGTGGCGGACACTGAATGGAGGCCAGTGGAGGGATTGGCAGAGAGGGGTAGAGGACACTCAATGGTGGCCAGTGGAAGGATTGGCTGAGAGGGGTGGGGGAAGGGACACTGAATGGAGGCCAGTGTTGGTGAGTATGGCACCATTCATGATGGACTGATGGGGGAGTGGCCTATGTAAAGGTAATCCAATGAGGAGGGAGTTGTAATAGTTGAGGTGAGAGATAACCAGGAAATGAAATGGAGGCTTTAAGATTAAAAAAAAATGTCAACAATAAAAATCCCCTTTAATTGGGAGTTGCGCCATTTTTCCTGAGTAATGATGAAGGGATAATGGCGGCCAATTAGGAGCCTCTAATGACTGTAATGCAGCGCCTGGTGGGAATCGGACAGGAAGCGCTCCGGCTATTAAACAGAAGAATTTGGCAACGCGAGTTTTACATTCGGATAAATATTTGCGCAGTGAGATAAGAGCGCAGGAGAGACTAAACCAACAAACGTCAGAACTGCCGATATTTCTGGAACGGGTTAATTATTATCACAAATTGATACAAAGACGTTTTCTCCCTTTCCTGGGATTTTCGGTCTTTCCGATAGATCTGCACTTTTTTTCGCTAATCTACGGAAAACATCTTGAGGCAATCATTGCGTTTCATTTAACAGAAATGATGGCGCTGATTTTGATTAATCTGCATAATGTGTTTCATATACATTACGAATATTTGGCACGCCGTCCGCGCAGTATATTCCCAAGAAACATGATATATACATAAATTACAGAGATTCCAGCAGATAACGACCACTCCGGACGCTTTTCCCGCTCGGATTAAAGTGAGCCTGTCTAATGGCCGAAGTTAGAGGTTTGCCCAGAGCCTGAATGGGCTCCTTGCACTGCTGATTCCCAATCGCCTGCTGGAACCCCAATAGAAATCCCGTACTTCCAGGTATGAGCGAACACATGACTCTCTTTCCTGCCTCGAAGGATTAGCAGCCAACCACCAGAGTGGGCACATGGGCAAATGATAAGACCTAAGCAGCATAACCCCAACCCAAAACTTTTGTAGTGGAGATGAGGTTTTGAGTTTACCTCAACCTTGGGTTCAAGGTGTGTTCCCAGGATGAAGCCTTCACTATGAGTTTGGGGATTGCCCCAGAGCAGGGGTGGACTGACAACTCATGGGGCCCCCGGGCAATAGGGCATCATGGGTCCCCTGTGTCCTTGCCCACACTCAAAGCACACCCAAAAAAGCCTATAAAAAGGTACCAGGGGCATTTCAAGGGGCCCCCAGGCAATAGGGAATCGTGGGTCCCCTGTGTCCTTGCTCACACTCAAAGCACACCCAAAAAAGCCTATAAAAAGGTACCAGGGGCATTTCATGGGGCCCCCAGGCAATAGGGAATCGTGGGGCCCCTGTGTCCTTGCCCACACTCAAAGCACACCCAAAAAAGCCTATAAAAAGGTACCAGGGGCATTTCATGGGGCCCCAGGCAATAGGGAATCGTGGGGCCCCTGTGTCCTTGCCCACACTCAAAGCACACCCAAAAAAGCCTATAAAAAGGTACCAGGGGAATTTCATAGGGCCCCCTTCTGACCCCGGGGCAGTGCCCGAGTGCTGGAATGGCCAGTCCGCCCCTGCCCCAGAGATTAGGATCAGCCTATAATGCAGTGCATAGCCTTTTCCCCTGGTCAGCTGAGACACAAGATGCAATTGTAGCGCACCCCTGAAAGAACCGCTGGTGGGTTTGGTCCTATTTTTCCCGTACAGCACACGCGGCCAGGCATACAGCATTTCCTACACTCTTCCACTAGCTCAAAAGAACAGTCTAGGGCAGGGGTGTCCAAACTATGGCCCTCCAGCTGTTGAAGTACTACAAGTCCCATCGTGCCTCTGGGTGTCTTGCCTGTGGATTTTAGAGTCTTGCAAGGCCTCATGGGACTTGCAGTTCCTCAACACCTGGAGGGCCATAGTTTGGACACCCCTGGTCTAGGGTTTTCTTTTTGGGTTTTCATTGGGAACAATGAGCTAGGATAGGGTGAGGGAGCATGGGACACCCCAACAAACTTCAGAGTTGTAAAACTTGAGAACTCCTCACTTTCTGCCTGCACAGTACAAAATAAAAATGTCCCGCAGGATCTCTGTGCTGATGGTGACCTGTACTCCTTCCAGAAATAAAAGCTACACAGTCATCAATCTCCAGCAATGGGGTCATCTACTCAGTCACAAGATCATCGGGTGCCTCCACCAGCCTCTTCGTAGTGAGGGAGATGTAGACTCACACCCCCATCCATAGGACTCTTCACCACCAATGTCCTCTTGGCTTTCTCCAGTGAGCTTCTCCAGGCCCAACTTGATCCCTGGACTCAAGCTTGTGAATAGGCCCCTCCCAACTAGGCCTAGCTGGGACCTTGGTGTCTTCCTGACAACTTTCCCCCAGACTTCTGCCCCAGGGGACAAATCCCCTGCACAGGGGTGTCCTCCGGCAGGGACTGGACCCAAGAACACTGCCTTGCTGTTCAGGCCTCAGACTATTTATGGGCTCTCCCTCCACCTTACGGACACACCACCCCAGGGATTGGCTGGAGCCCCAGAAATATTCAGACTGCCCACTCTGTTCTTCCTCCCACTATAATTCTAGAATTCTCCAGAAGACGGGGGGAAGTAATCAGACCAGCAGCCTGTGAGACACTGAGCAGCCCCAAATAATCAACCCATACTCTTCTGATTACAGTGGAGCCAAACTAAATGTACCTGGCAGCCCACTCTGCTCTAGGAGGGGCTACACAATAATTGGAAGAAATAGATCCCTTTCTATAAAATGGCAGCCATATTGTCAGTGTGTTGGGGGATGTCACTGTGCTGCATCGTGGACTGCTGTGGTGGGCTAGAAACCCTTTGGTACCCGGCTCCATAAATCCATGTCCAGCTTTAAGGCCGGCCCCCAAGTATGACATTTAAAGGACTTGTGCATTTTTAATGTCACCATCAAAGCCGCGTGATAAGGTCATCTCCCGGCAACAAGGGAATAACTGCGCTTCATTTCATTGGACGGATTTCACCAGAAAACTGCAGCTACGATGGATCCCATTCGCAGTGTTCTGGAGATTTGGATCTCTTCTCTGGAGATCCTTGAGTGAACAACTTCTACGGCACCAATCATTTTATAAATGTATCTTCTGATTTTTGGGTGGCGTTGAGTCTGTTACCTGATCATGGTTATGAGTCCAATGGACAATGTCACCTATGTGTCTGCCTGCCTCTGTCTGCAGTCGTATGGACGGGAGTTCCTTCACCTAGTACTCTGCGTTGTTCTATTGGTCCATCAACGTGGTGCGCAATCTAACACAGGCAGCTAAGAGAGAAATGCCAATGTTACAGCACTCTCTTGCCTGCCGCCTGACCTCTCTCTTGTTTGCTGCCTACCACAACCCCTACCTGTGCCTGGCCTCTCTCTTGTTTGCTGCCTACCACAACCCCTACCTGTGCCTGACCTCTCTCTTTTGTTTGCTGCCTACCACAACCCCTACCTGTGCCTGACCTCTCTCTTTTGTTTGCTGCCTACCACAACCCCTACCTGTGCCTGACCTCTGTCTTGTTTGCTACCTACCACAATCCCTACCTGTGCCTGAACTCTGTCTTGTTTGCTGCCTACCACAACCCCTACCTGTGCCTGACCTCTGTCTTGTTTGCTACCTACCACAACCCCTACCTGTGCCTGAACTCTCTCTTGTTTACTGCTTGCCACAACCCCTACCTGTGCCTGACTTCTCTCTTGTTTACTGCCTACCACAACCCCTACCTGTACCTGACTTCTCTCTCTTGTTTGCGGCCTACCACAACCTCTGCCTGTGCCTGACCTCTCTCTTGTTTGCTGCTTGTCACAACCCCTACTTGTGCCTGACCTCTCTCTTTTGTTTTCTGCCTAATACAACCCCTACCTGTGCCTGACCTCTCTCTTGTTTGCTGCCTGCCACAACCCCTTCCTGTACCTGAACTCTCTCTTGTTTGCTTCCTGCCATGGCTACTGCCTGGACCCGACTTATCTTTTGTTTGCTGTTTGCCAAGACTCCTGTCTGAATCTGCCTTGTCTTTTTTTTGCTTCCTGCCACGACCCCTGCCTGGACCTGTCTTATCTCTTGTTTGTTGCCTGCCAAAACCCCTGCATGGACCAAACTTCTCTCTTGTATGCTGCCTCCTATGACTCCTGCCTGGACCTGACCTCTCCTGTTTGCCCGCTGCCATGGCCCCTACCTCTACCTGAATTCTCTTATTTGCTGCCTGCCATGACTCTTGCCTGGAACAGACTTCTCTCATGTTTGCTGCCTGCCACAACCCCTGCCTATGTCTGAATTCTCTCATGTTTGCCACCTGACATCTGCTGCCTGAACATGACTTCTCTTGCTTGCAGTCTGCCATGACCCCTGCCTGGACTGGACCACTCTTGTTTTCAGCCTGCCATGGCCCTTGTCTGGACCTGATCTCTCTTTTTTGCAGCCTGCCACAACTCCTGCCTGGACCTGCATTCTCTCTTGTTTTCTGACTGCCACAACTCCTGTCTGGACCTGACTTCTCTCTTGTTTGGCACCTGCCATGACCCCTGCCTGATCCTGACCTCTCTTGTTTGCTGCCTGTCATGACTCTTACCTGGACCTGACTTCCCACTTGTTTGCCACCTGCCATGGCCCCTGCCTGATCCTGACTTTTATCTTGTTTTCCGCCTGCCATGGCCTTTGTCTGGACCTAACCTCTCTCTTGTTAGCCACCTACCATGACCTTTGCATGGTCCTGACCTCTTTCTTGATTGCTGCCTGCCATGACCCTTGTCTAGATCTGCATTCTCTTTTGTTTGCCAAGTGCCATGACCCATGCTTGGCTTGATCTGACTTCTCTCTTGTTTGTTGGCTGTCATGGCCCCTGCCTGGATCTGACTTTTCTCATTTGCTGCCTGTCATGGCCCCTGCCTGGATCTGACTTTTCTCATTTGCTGCCTGTCATGGCCCCTGCCTGGACCTGCATCCTCTCCTATTTGCTGCCTGCCATGTCCCTTGCTCACACCTAATTTCTTGTTTGTTGCCTGCCCCGACCTCTGACTGGACCCCACTATTCTCTTGCCTACGACATCATGCACTATTGCCCTTCTATCGCATAAACCCCTTGGTGGGGGGATCCTGAGGTCCACAATCTCATGCCAATTTATAGTAAAGTAAACCAGGGTTTACTAGGATTTCAATCCAATGAATAAATGGGGCGGGGCCAGGAACAGTCAGGTTGGGGAGGAAAAATCTAGATGTTGTAGGGCATCCAACAGCCAGGAAATGGGGCGGAGCTCTATCTGACTGGCTGCAGCTTCTAATGAATGTGAGAAATTCACAATGTGCAGTGACATCAGAGGAAGCCATTTCAGTCCAAGGGAGGAGCCGGGACACCTGTGCAAGACTGAAGGGGAGGAGCCGTGACACCTGTGCAAGACTGAAGGGGAGGAGCTGGGACACCTGTGCAAGACTGAAGGGGAGGAGCCGGGACACCTGTGCAAGACTGAAGGGGAGGAGCCGGGACACCTGTGCAAGACTGAAGGGGAGGAGCCGGGACACCTGTGCAAGACTGAAGAGGAGGAGCCGGGACACCTGTGCAAGACTGAAGGGGAGGAGCCGGTACACCTGTGCAAAACTGAAGGGGAGGAGCCGGTACACCTGTGCAAGACTGAAGGGGAGGAGACAATACACCTGTGCAAGACTGAAGAGGAGGAGTCGGTACACCTGTGCAAGACTAAAGGGGAGGAGCCGGTACACCTGTGCAAGACTGAAGGGGAGGAGCTAGTACACCTGTGCAAGACTGAAAGGGAGGAGCCGGTACACCTGTGCAAGACTGAAGGGGAGGAGCTGGTACACCTGTGCAAGATTGAAGGGGAGGAGCTAGTACACCTGTGCAAGACTGAAAGGGTGGAGCCGGTACACCTGTGCAAGACTGAAGAGGAGGAGCCGGTACACCTGTGCAAGACTGAAGGGGAGGAGCCAGCACACCTGTGCAGGACTGAAGGGGAGGAGCTGTCACAGTACCTGTGTAAGACTGAAGGGGAGGAGCCGGCACACCTGTGCAGGACGGAAGGGAAGGGGAGGGGCCAGCACACCTGTGCAAGACTGAAGGGGAGGAGCCATACACCTGTGCAAGACTGAAGGGGAGGAGCCAGCCCACCTGTGTAAGACTGAAGGGGAGGAGCCGGCACACCTGTGCAAGACTGAAGGGGAGGAGCCAGCACACCTGTGTAAGACTGAAGGGGAGGAGCCGGCACACCTGTGCAAGACTGAAGGGGAGGTCGGAGGGAAGATTTGTGGCCTCAGTGCCGTATCTTCAGTTTTTCTTGTTTAGGGCCCATTCATACATCATTCGGACCCGAGGTGACGGGTTTTGGGGCAATGTCAATGATATGAGTCGGGTCAGTTCAGAATTCATTGAGAGGTGCAAGTGACCTTCTTCAGGTGTCATAGACTTGTATAGAAGTACAAAACCTGCTTGATCTCTCTGCCTCCACCCTCCCCCCCCACACTCATAGCTCCTCTCCTGAGGTCGCTGTGAGCTGCACATGACCCGCAGTCATCTATACCCCTATGAAGGTGCTTCCAGCGGGCCACAGGGTCCTATTTAAGGTAACAATAGGATGAAAAAACAGGAACATGGATGGAATGTGCAAAGTGAGGAAGCATGAGAAGGGAGGGGGGTGGTAATTACATATAATTGTGAAATTAAAGAATGGCGGCGATTACATCAACTTGACCTCGGCCCATGAGACAGCGGGGGTTCTGGGATTTCTAGGACTTCAGGCTCTGAGCTCATACTCTGCCATTGTCCTCATCCGGAGCCTCAACTCATCTTCACAAGCCGTGTCCCCGTCTCCCCGAATTACGACAATTCCTCCGCCTGGATCTTCGGGGGTCACCAGACCACGTTGGCGCCCTCGTTTATAGCGCAGGATTGATACAGTTCCTGCTTTATTGTATCGGAAGGATAATATATAACATGACCCGGCTGCCAAGTCTCACATCGACTCCAAGAACCGTCTACGGAGGAAAGAACGAGCGTACAAATGGGGCTTGTCAACCCAAGACGAGGCCCGAGGATCGGACATATGGACTGCGTTACGGCTGAGACATACATCAAACAGATTCCTCAACGCTACAACATCTCCCCCGACCGGGAGGACCAGAAATCCTCCATATGTAACATGCGTCTCATTGGCATGGACATGTGAAGAGAGCCCATCCCCCGGCCAGGAAATGCACTCATACCGTGTATCGCATTAAAGACCGCCGCCGCCCCGCCGCCATATACCGGGAAATGAACCGTCAGCTACAGCAACCGCTCACAATTCACTTCACCCGAGCATGACCTCCACATGATGGATTCTAACCGGCTGCTGATCCTCCAGGCACATGGAGGCCGACTCCACACAAAACGAAGGAATTCTCTTGGTGGCCTGTAAGGGAACAACGGGATTTACACGACCCTTCGGTCTATAAAAGCTCCTTCCACCTATCTCAGACCAGAACATTCCTTGTGTTATATCCTGTGATGTGCCACTGAAAAAAGTAGTAAACAAAGAGAATGAAAACAAAAAAAATCTATATTAAGGGCAAAATAAAAAAAAATAAACAAATAAATAAAGAAAAATATTAATAGCTAAGGAGAGAAGGGTAAGAAGGGGTTATATAGGGCCGACTGGGGGAACTAAGGGTTAATTAGGTGTTACTGGAGCAACTGCACTTATAAAGTGCGCCGTCTATTTACCCCGCTGACTGCTACAGGAAAATGCTACATTCACTGGGTACAATGTGGGAGGAGTTAGAACCTCTGTCAGGTTATTACCCACAGGGAAGAAAAATATATTTGAAATACTACAATTTTGACCGTATTCAATATATTTCAAAATATATTTCAATAAATGTGTATATATATGTATACTGCATGTTGAAATGTGTTTTAATTACAAAATATATGAAACATATACATTTCCAAATATACAGAATGTCTTTAAAAATTCAAATCTACATTTTTGGAATGCATTTACAAATATACGTAAAAATATATGTTAAAATTACTTTTTTATACGTTAAATAAAATCTAAAGAATATATTTGAAAAAAATATATTTTTAAAAATATTTTTCATATATTCTGTAATATATAAAAATGCATCTCAACATTCAGTGTATATATATATATATATATATATATATATATATATATATATATATACACACAGCATGTTGAAATGCATTTTTGACCTACAGTATATTTGAAAATGTATTTTTAAAAATATGTTTCGTATATTTTGTAATAAAAAAGCATTTCAACATACAGTATATATATATATATTGAAATATATTTTGAAATATATGGAATACGGCCAAAATTGTAGTATTTCAAATATATGTCAATATATTTCAGAACAATATTTTAAAAATTATATTTTTCTTCCATGTGGGTTAGGACTACATTTTATTTATTTATTAAATGTAACCTCTAAGGTTTCTTTAGGCTTGGATCCCCCCCATAGGTGTGACTGAGTGCATGCGCGTCTCCATGTGTTTGCAGTGCGTTCCCTCGCGTTGCATGTGGGCAGCCTATTCATTTTAATGAGTTACCTTTCATGCAAAAACACTGAAAAAAGGTCTCGGACTTTTTTCCAAAAACACACTGCTCCAACCCCACGGTTATACGACACCATGCACAAAAAGATACGTGCATTTGAAGATGCCATTGTGCGGGTGCCATTAAGAATGAATTGCACCACCGTGCGTCTTCTGAAGTGTGTTTCTACGCATGTCAGGAAAGTGTAATATTTTGCTCACATTCTCAACAAGGAGAGGAATCCGTCCGTCGTATCCGGATGAAGGTCACAGACAGTATACAATCGTCAGTACAATGAAGCAATACGTTGTTACATTGTATTTTCTCAGTGACACTTGTAGACTGTCTGCGGGTGTCACTATGCAGGGCGGCTGTGTTGTGACTTTCCCTCCTGCTGTGGAATACAAAGCAATTATTGGCTGTAATCTGACTGCCTCTAATTACCAAGTAATAGCAAGGGGGGGGCACTATCAGGGGGGAGGAGCCGGATGTTGGAGATCCCTCCTAAGTTTTTTAGGATGCATCTCAAATTTGTTCACAATCGTTACGTGGGATGATCCTTGTTTTCACATGTTGATGGATCTGCGCATCCAAGGTTTACCATTGCGTCCTATGCTGACCGTGTCTTTCTTCTTCAATATCCTGTATGCATTCTTCCCATGTCTATTTTTTTTTTTTTTTTTTACAATAAGAGCTGTTTGGATTAAAAAAAAAAAATCTTTACGTGGTTTGTACAGTATATATATATTGTGCACCCGCATGGTGGTGCAATTCATTCTTAATTCACAATGGCATCTTCAAATGCACGTATCTTTTTGTGTATGGTGTCGTATAACCGTGGGGTTGGGGCATTGTGTTTTTTGGAAAAAAGTCCGGGACCTTTTTTTTTTTTTTCCAGTGTTTTTGCATGAAAGGTAACTCATTAAAATGAATAGGCTGCCCCACATGCAACGCGAGGGAACGCACTGCAAACACATGGAGACGCGCATGCACTCAGTCACACCTATGGGGGGGATCCAAGCCTAAAGAAACCTTAGAGGTTACATTTAATAAATGAATAAAATGTAGTCCTAACCCACATGGAAGAAAAATATATTGAAAAAAAAACCAAAAAAAAAAAAAACATATATATATATATATATATATATATATATATATACACATATATATATATATATATATATATATATATATATATATATACACATATATATATATAATATATATATATATATATATATATATATATATATATACACACACATATATAAATATATACACAATATTAATGACATTTTATAATTTGATTTTTTTTAATAAATTCTGAAATATTTTTATATTTTATATATATAATATATATTATATAATATATATATATATATATATATACACTGCACAAACCATGTAAAGATTTTTCAACATGCAGAATATATATATATATAGAAAAGCATATCTGCATATTGAAATGCATTTTTTAATATATTAAAAAAATATATCAAACAGATTTTTAAATATGTATATTTTTTAAATATATTCTTCAGATTTAACATATAAAAAAAGTCATTTTAACCTATATTTTTAACATATATTTGTAAATGTATTCCAAAGATGTAGATTTGTATTTTTAAAGACATTCACTATATTTGAACATTTATTTTTACAAATATTTTTTCTATATTTTGTAATAAGTACGCATTTCAACATACAGTATTTATATATATATATATTGAACTATATTTTGAGATATATTGGATACGTCCAAAATTGTAGTACTTCAAATACATGTCAATATATTTGGGAAGAATATTTTTGAAATATATTTAAAGTATACTTTCCTTCCATGTGGGTTGGACAAAGCTTTGCCTGCAGTTCCACTACAAATACGTTTGGGGGGGGGGGGCTCCACAATGGGCTCTGTGTGGCCCCAACCCCGGGACCCCTTGTCACCATATAAAACAGCCTCAGCTCTGCCTCCTGCGCCATCATTTGGGTAGGTGGGGAGGGGAGGGGGGGGGGGATCTGATGAACAATTACTGACGTCTGCCACAAGCTCAGCGCACAAACATGAATTCGTTGCGTTCTGGCGGTGGGCGGGGTTTTAGTGCTCCTTTGGCGCTAAGCGCGCGTCCCTTGTAATTTATTTCTATGAAGTGAAGTGTTTTTGTTATTCCAGAGAGAGCGGCTGATTCGCGCCTCCGGTTTTGTTATGTAACACGGACGCCATTCACCGCGCCGGCTGTGCGAGGACGCAGGAAGTTACATTATGTGTCATTATTGTCATTATCTCCATTACAACCTCCGACGTCCCAAAAAACAGACATCTGCAGATCCGGATCCGAGGCGAGGGATCGCTGGACGCCGCCGCGCTCCTCCAGTTCCAGGATATGGAAATAAAGGAGAAAACTTCACCCGAAAATCTAATAAACAACTGGGGGGGGGGGGGGCGGCTGGTCTGAAGTCCAAGAGGACCAATGAGAGCTGAGCCCCCCCCCCCCGTCGCTGGCGGTGTGCTCCCCTTACATTCAGGATCTCACCTTCTATTGTGTTCTATGAACCTCTGGAAGGCTTATAAAAATAAAAATATTTCAGATTTTATTCAAAAAAATCAAATTATAAAATGTCATTAATAATCATTCCCCAGCAATAAAAAACAGTTC